AAAAAAACACCACCCCCACCATAGCAGCAGTGTAAATGCAGGCAAGTTTTGTGACAGCTGACAGCTTTAGTTACTTTCTTTGTGAAAAGTCGGGCCTATAATTTCTATTTCTCAGAAGCACTGTGTGCACTAAATGAGGTCATGTAATCAGCACTTGCTAAACAATATTATTCCGACTTCATACTATCTTTGCCACCATAAGTAACAAAAGAGATGTGCTCAGACCCCTACAGGCTCCATATCAGGTTCCATATAATATCCAACTTGTAAGCATCTTTTAGCACTTGCATTGTCCATGGTGCAGTGTAAGAATTTGAGTTCCTGTCCATTAAGATATCTTATTTATCTTTGAGATTATTTTTACTCCCATTTACTCAAGCCTAGTTCAGAGGTATAGTTACATTTTTTTATCTCCTTTGGTTTATTCTTGTATTTATTTTAAATTCCACTAGAAACTTGATGATGGAATGTGAAGGGGGTAATGAATAGAAGATGACATTTACGTTTTGAATTTTCTTTCGTCTCTGCTCTCAAGTTTGGGGCTTCGGCATAAACTTCTGTAGACTGAGGAGCAGAGGAGGTGACCGCACCAGGCCCAGCTTGTGCTTCCCGCATTAGCGCGGGGGCTCGGGCACGGCTGGGACATATTCCAGGAGCCACCAGTGTCTGACAAAGCTCACCCACGTTTGCTGCAGGGGGACCACTGGGACAAGCGAGTGGAGACCTGCTTTGGGAGAGAAGTGACTCCCTCCCCCTCCCCTGTCCCGTGCAATGACAAGCAAAATGCCTCTCGGTGCTCCCTTAAGTTAACCTTGTTGTCTACTAAGGAATAATTTTCAAAAAGAACATTCCACTTTAGAAAAAAGGCTCATCCAAATGAAGGAACCTATTTCAAGGAGAAGGCACATGCTTTAAGCTTCATTCCTATAAATCATTTTTCTTGCAGCTGCAAAACTAATTCTTCCTAAAGCTAACAAGGATTATCTCTGGTAAGCCAGGTTTGCTATTTTAAAACCAGAAGGAAAAAAGAGAGAAAGAGAGACAGGAGAAACTGCATCCAGAAAATTGTTTTCTTTCTTTAATGGGGGAATTATACAAAGAAGATAAATTCCAATTTTTTCCCTCTTGTTTCAATTTTGGTAATAATGTATGTATAGCATTAATCTGATTCTTGTTACTCTCCTAAGGAATGACAGATAATTAAAATTCGAATGCATCTCTTTCCTTCCCCAACCCTTCCACTCACATTTCTGTTTCCTGTCTCTACCCTGCATTCAAAATTGCTTTGTCTCCCCACCCCACCCCCGTCCCGAGTGAAACTGTAGATTTAGGGTGGAGGAGTGGAAAAGCAGAGGGTAGGCAGCTTTACACAAAAAGGTTGTTTGCTATGTCTAATCCCCAATCAGCTTACAGTGTAAGCCTGTTTCTTAAAATAAAACGTACAATGAAGCGGATCGTGAAATTCATTTCTCAGCCTGTTGTTCTTCAGAACAAATAACCTCAGTTTTATTACTTCTCCCAGCTCATCTTGCTTTATTATATTAAATTCTCATAATCATTCATTCTTCGCTTGTTCGGTACTGAACCCCACGTCCTGAGCAGAGGCGAGAGCTGGGCCCCCTTGGGTGGAGCGGGGAGACTATCCGAGGCCCTACCTCGGGCACTTCAGCCACACCGCTCTCTGGTCACTGGGAAACCACCCTGAACCCTGTGACCCTGGGACATCACTGCTGCCACCGTGCAGTGTAACTCAGATCTGACTCTTCTACCTTTCCGAAGGACGGAAAGCAAACCTACTGTTATACAGTTGGTGGTGATCTTGGCCACTTTTGAGCAACGCTACGAGGCAGGCTTTGTGCTGGGCGCTGTTTGTATGTCAGCTCTTTTAAGATTCAAACTAAATGTGGTTTGGTATTATTATTATTCTCACTTTGTTGAAAAAAGAAATAGAAACTCTGAGACATAAGTATCAGCACTAAAGTTTCGGCTCATGTCCCCTTAGTTATCAAACTGTTCTTCCCGATTCGCTTCAGCAGGCGCTTGAAAAATGTGAAATGAAAAACAAAATCCTGGCATGCCTTGTTGTTTTATTATAATAAAACTCTAGTATAATGTGTAGCGTCACCAATAACCATAAATACACAGCCTCGATAAAAATGAACACTCACCTTAGAGAAATAGTCAGTTATCTGAAGAAAACTCAGGAGAATGGCCTCCATATAGCCCCAAAACTAATTTCACATGAGACAAAACCCTAGTGTTTCATTACTTATTTAAATAGAAAACCTTTTCTTGCCAGTATTCTGTAATACTTCCTTTCTTTATGTTTTTCTTTTTCTTTTTTAAGCAGTGCTTTAGACCAGAAATCCCTAGAGACCTAAGCAGGAATGAATAAAAGCTGTGGGGCAAAGAATATTGTACTTGTGAGACAAGGCCCTAAAGTTAGTGGAATCCTAAGGCGCTGGTCTCCAACTATGGCTTTGCCATCGATGTTTGGAACTTCACTGGAAAACCAGCTTTGAAGTCTAGGGCAAGGCTTCGTACTTGGAGAGGAAATAAAGCTGAGGTACAACTTTTTTGTTTTCCTACCACAGGTTGCATTTTGCCAAACCTTACTAGTTTCCCCCAAATTAAGGTACATATGCTACTGCTGTTGCTCTGAATTTGGTTTTCTCTTTGTAACAGATTAAAGGTTTACTTTGAGATATACGAAATTAATAAATTGTACTACCAGGCTTGTTTCTTAGAGATACAAAGCTATCTGCAGAGTTGTCAACAATTTGGATAATGTAAGGTGTAAATCATCTTGATAAAAGTTATCTTAGTGTATTTTTCTCTCTTTGGATTAAGCTATTGGGCTAGTCCATGTTGATTAAATTATCTGAACAACTGGCAAACTATATTTCATTTTCTCAACAAAGGCACATCCTAAGAAGTCAGATCATCTCATGCTGTTATTTCTAAAACTGAAGAATTTTTAGCGATCATCTGCCAAGTGAGCGAGTCAGCATGGATGACAATGGGCGCCTCCTATTAGAACAGCAGCTGTCCCCCTCATAGATTCTAGCAGTCGCGTAATTCATTCACCCGGCCCGCTTTGTCAGTCAGTCTATTTTCCTCTGTGTTAGCACGCTCCAACTAACCAACTGAATCTAAATAAAAGTTGAATACTGAAGGTTGTCTGAGAGCATATGTCATTTGATTTTAATATCCCTTTCTCTTCATTCTACTTTCTAGGAAAGGCCATTTTAGCAAATCCTACACACAGTTTTCTTCCTGTGCTCTAAGTTTCTCTCTACTTGCTTCTACATATTAGAGAATGCCTATGCTTCATTTTAAAAATAAATAAAAAATTATCTGTAATACTCTCAACAATAAAGATAAATTTTTTAAAAATTACCTTGTCCAAATCTAGCTCCCTTGTGCACATTTCGGACGCCTGGGTATCCCAAACTCCTGCAGATGACCTGTCCGTTGCGCAGCTCCCAGTGGTCATCACAAACTGTGCCCCACTGGCCCTCATGGAAAATCTCCACTCTGCCTTCGTGAGGGCCACTACCACCAACCAGCCGAACTTTCTGAGGCGGAGCTGTAACACAGGCAAGCAGGGGTTAATTATATAGTAACACAATTTCATAATGCTTTTTAAAAAAAATCATTTTAGCACATTTTTTTCAGTAAGGTCAACGATTAGAATAAATTTTAAACCTTCTAGCATCACCTACTGAAGAGTTTAATTGCAAGTATGGCATTAGTCGAAGCTGAAGCATAAAATATGTTCCCTCTGTTTTAACATTTATGTAAGTTATGTAGATGAGAACACTTCGAAGATTATGTTCCAATGACTTTAAAATTCAACAGCTATGAGTTTTTAAATGATATATAGATTTTTTTGTACTATTTAGAAAATTTTGAAACAAAGTGAGTCAGTATTTTCTTGACACACTAACACACAAACTGGAAAACACAATACAATCCAGTCACTTTCAATGACATAGGAGGTGGAGGAAAGATATTTTATAATATCATAAACACAAAAATAGATGACCAAACATCCTATCTTCTAGCGAGAGAAATGAGAGAACTATAGCGACATTTCTTTAGAAATAGCAAGGATACTTCTTATTACAAGGCCCTCGATTTTGCCCCAACACGTTTTTCTTTTTTTGAATGAGAGAAAAAGCAGACGATTTTTGAAAGGAGAGAGAGAATAAACTCTCTGATCTCTTAAGGGTACCAATTCCGTGATGAGGACCCTCTCCCCATGACTGCATCTAGACCTAATTATCTCTCAAAGGCTCCACCTGCAAATAGCATCACATTGGTGTTTTGGGCCCAGCCCATAAATGTGATGGGGGAGCAGGGATGGGTGAACACGGTCCAGTCCGCAGACGTGTGCAATGGGGTCACAGATGGCTGGCCCCACCCCCAGAGTGTCTAATTCAGGTCTTGAGAGGGACTCAAGAGTTTGCGCCTCTATCCAGTTCCCAGGTGATGCCGGTGCTGTTGGTCCTGGGACCATACTTTGAGAACACTAACCTGGAAGATCATATTACAAATTTAAAAGCGAAGGCATGTCATGCTTTTATACAATCCTTTAGCCTCATTGATTCCAGAGAACGGCTGCAGATTTCTTCCCAATCCCCTATGCCTGTGCAGTTTTGAAGAGGAATTATTCCTCTATGGAATTTTTTAGGGCTAAATCTATCTGGACATGCCTATGCCTATCTGTCAACTAAATACAGTCTTTTTCAATTATAAATCAATTATAGACATGTGACCACACTTTGCTGATCCTTGACCATCTCTGAACTAACCAAGAGAAAAGCGGCAGCCCACAGGCTCTCTCACCCACTCTGTTTTGGTGATGGAGAGAAGGCCCTTTTGTCATTCTGAACAGTCTCCATCAGCATTTTCTCTATACAGCTGCAGGTCAGTTTTCTCTGAATTTAGCCAGCTCATTATATGGGTGTAAGTAATGGCTATGGTTTCTTTGCTCTCAAGCTAACGTATTTAGTCAGACAGATTTTTCTCCACTGGGGAATATTTACCTTGTACCTAAAGATTTCAGAAAAGAGTAATTTTTATGTATTTTTTTCTGGGTAGCTGTCTTAATTCTCCCCTGGACTTTATTAATGTAGACTTCCTCCAGATTCAAATCAGATAAACACAGCTAAACTGACCATGTGTCTACTTAATGGCTTTGTACTAGTCATCACTTTGTAATTGGCTACAAACAGAAACACATGCCAAAATGGAAATGATAATATATGTTGGGGACCTCAGGATTCCCTATGGAACCCAGGGGTAAGATGCTACTAGGGCATCTAGATCAGTTGAACCAATTCAAATCTGCTCAGTGCTCTCCAAGTTTTATCTGAAAGCCTCTCTGTAAATTGCTTCATTCTTTTCGTTTGTTGCAAGCTGGATGTCTCTGTTCCCTAATCCACATGATAAAGCATGTGTGTTAATAACTCATAAATTTCTATTTTACAATCTCTACCTTACTGACAGTTCTAAAGGCCCGTGGAAGCCCTCCTCTGGCTTTGTTTGAGCTAGGTTGCCCACCTGTGGACCAAACAGCTTGGGCCAAAGACAGGTCACTGCACTTACATAGTTTTTCTGGAGTGAGGGTCAGAGGCATTTCCTAGTTGAAGGGGAGTTTTGAGCAAAGACAATAAATTCATTTCATAGAAAACATTCTAATAATCTTTGTGTATTTATGCAATATCAATTATATGTTTAGCCCTGTGTTCTTTTTCATATCTGTCACTGTGGAGTATAACTGAAATTAAAAATCCAGGATTCAGATCATCTGGATTTTAGTTCTGCCTCTGACACTCTTTATGTGCCCTTATTAAAACATTGAACCTAAGACCAAATTTTTCAGCTGTTTAAAAGGAAGATGATATTTGCTCTTAGTTCAATGCATCTTCATACAACTTCTCTGTACCGGGCGTTTCCCTGGGTTCCTGGAATAATTTGAATACTATACGTACCCCACGTTCAAGGCTCGTGCATTTTTGAGATCATTATGAAAGTTAACAGAAATAGTCCATTCTTTAAAATGGTAGGCAAATACAAAGTTTTTATTTTTACAAGTTTTAAAAATTTTGAGGTTTTCCTTTTCTGACAAAAGCATTGGGATGAATATATTACCTGTGATATTAATCACCTTATTCATTAAAAAAAAAAATTTTAAATAATTCCCTGCTAACTGCTTATGCTCCTCAAAGATGAGTTCTTTACCAACTAGGATGAGCCTCTGCAAAGAGACAAAATCTACCCAGGGGTTTCAGATGTGAGTTTACTTGAGCTTTGTGATATCCAGACATGATTATCTACTATTTTCAAAAAGTCTTCTGTATCAGAGAGGAGTAAATGATGGCCCCTGGGCCAATTTCAGCCTGCTGTCTGTCACATGGAGCTGCACTGGAATGCAGCCTCGCCCATCCGTCCGTATGTTGTCTGGGGCTCCATTCAGGCTAAAACATTCGAGTTGAATAGTCGTGACAGAGACCTTCTGGCATATTTGCTATCTGGCCTTTTGTAGAAAAAGCTTCCCAACCCCTGTTATAGCTGAAAACACAATAGAGTAGGATTCAGTAGGGGTACTCTTGCCAAGTGATCCCTGAAATAACTAAGGTCATGATTCCTCTCTGCTTTCCTCTCCTTTCTAGTCGAATCCTTTGAGAACCTCTCGGCCCCTGCACTCCTGCCCTTTTTATTTTATAATATAATTATTCACTTTGCCTAAATATGCCTTACTTTCCTTAATTTCTGGAGCTTTGGTTCCTTTCTAGAATATTCCCTTAATCCCTCCTCTCCACCTCCCTGCCCTTTCCTCTCCCCTTCACATACTTCCCATTTCTCCACCCTCAATCCACCCCAGGTTTGGATGGGTTTCTCACTTCCAACTCCCACAGCACAGCTGACCTACCAAAACACTGCAAACTAGTTTATTTTCTCCACTAGACTGAGATCCTTACAGTTATATTTTTATCAGCTGACAAAATCTAGATTTTCACTTAGTAGTCACTTCATAAAGAGTTATGATATGAATGAATGAATGAATGAATGAATGAATGAGTGGTGAGTTCTTCTTGATATGCAAACTGCATTAACTGAATGAATTAAATTGGTAAATGCTTAACATATCAAACAATAGAAGCAGTAAAGGAAATCACGGAGGAAAAGCCTGATTTAACTGAATTAAATATGAGTTTATTACAGCAAAAAATGGCATGGCTCTCTACTGAAAGTCCCCAAGGCAGGAGGAGGGTTTGGTGGGAAGTTCTGATCAAAAGCCTTACATATTCCACAACCTGATTTTGTAGGGTTAGAGGAGTTATCTCTCAGTGGCAGACTAATGTCAAACAGAATCTTGGGACTAAATGTCAATTCAATTTACAAGGGGAAATGTAATTGCCTCAAAAACTGGAATATTTGTATCTGCTTGACAAGGCCATTTTCTCCCCTGGGCGATCTTTATAGGAAGTCAAATCACAATAAGTGAATTATTCGTTTAATTAATTTATTAATTTACAATGAGACATAGGAGTGAGATTTTGCCTCTGGGACTGGACTGAGAGCACATTTTTTTTTATATATGTTAATACATTCAGTCAGGTTAGGTGATTTGACATTATCTCTGCTCTGATTCATTGTAATTTAACGTTTTAGTGGCAATCTTACTATTTTTACTTCCTAGTTCTAGAGGGAAGGATGTAGTATGTTAATTTCTATATATTTTAAAGTCCATTTGTAAAATAAAAACAATATATAAAATATTTATTAAAATAGCACATTCATTTTTCTATGACCATAAGATACCAAACAAAAATATGTAATAGACCAGATGTTTTACAAAAGGTTTTGTCATTTAATCTGAGGAAATAACACCAATACAATAAAAGTTAAAAAGTTCAGGGGTTATTTTTATTTTGTTTATTGCATACTTATTTTTAAAGGGAAAAGTAAAACATATATATTAAATATCTCCAGATAAAGGGATAGCTATACATTAGATGGATAGTTTTAGAGGCATTAAGCACAACTGTTCAAAGGATCGTGTGGAAATAGGGGGAAATATGATAATATAATATTAAATGACTACATTATTAAAAATTTTTATTTCAGTTATGCAAAAAAAAGATATATAAAAAGACTGGAAGAAAGTATCTAAGCATAGTGACACTAATTCTGTATATGGGACAGAAATTGAATATATAATCTTTTTCTAATATTATATAGTTATATTATTTTTAAAACTCAGAGTAATTTAATCAAATAAATAGTGGCTGGATATTCACTAATGCTTACTGTTGTAGCAGGTCTATGACAAAGCTGAAATTCATAACATCAAGGAGAAAGAACAAGGTCAGAATGAGAGAGGATTCCATTTATGTAAAATAACACACAATACAATACCATCTATTGTTTATGCACACATACATATGTAGTAAATATATGAAAACCTGAATGGAAAGAAACATATAAACTCCAAGGCAACGTTTTATCTTGGAAAAGCAAGGGAGGCAGGCATTAGTAGGGTTTCAACTCTATTAATTAAAATTATATATCTTTAAA